CAACTCCCAGAATTCCCCAGCCAGCATGCTGGCTGGGGAATTCTGGAAGTTGAAGTCCACATGTCTTAAAGTTGCCAAGGTTGAGAAACAGTGATTTAAACAGCCAACACAGGGTCTTAAAATGCCAATAGTACTTATGATGTTCTTTGAAAAATATACCCCAAAAATGAATCAAGTGAACAATCCATGCACTAGGTGGATTAGTTTCCCCCTTGATTTGGGAAGAGGAGGACAGCAGTTTGCCTGTTGTGCTTCATTTCACTGCAAGCAACTGGTATTGTGCACTATAACAGACATGCCACTTCCACTCTGGTCCCTGCTCTCCATGGCCATTTTTTTTAACATATTCCCTTCCCTCCCTTGAGAAGTTTTGACCCAAATGAAATGGAGCAGAGTTCTGCCACTTCCCCCATGTAGCCTAAGTGACGGGAAGAATTATACATATGGAGATGTTTCTTTTCCATCTGGTCTATTGTGGACCCATCCGATGGAAAAGTGTCAAGTATGAAAGGGAGTTAGTGCCAGGGACAGGGGGAGGGATCCTGCAAAAGGTCTATGAATGGAAACCACATGTCCTGAGTCCTGCCGTGGGTGGGAGGGGCAAAGAAGGAGAGGAATCCACCAATCAGGGCAATGGAAAACATGGTCACAACAGAACATCAGGCCCTGGCTGTGGGCAAAGCAGAGGAAGGGAAGAAGACAAAAGGGGGTTTCTTGAGCCAGCCTTGTTTCCAGCTAGTTTATTATGCACAGCAGTTGAGCAAGCTAAGGCTGTAGTATGGAAAAACTCACAGTCATGAAAAGTACCTATATTGCTGACAAGAAAATTGATGATTAAGTGAGCACTTTCAATTTTAATCAGATTTGTAAAATAACAATTTTGTATAATGAAATGAACTAAAATAGTTCAGGACTGCCATTCATTTCATGATCGAAATGGCGTGGTGGTCTGAAATTTAAGAGAAGGTCTAAAATGAAGTTGTTCAGATAAAATGAAATATACAGGCAAAATAAAAACCTGGAACTTCAGCGTTAAGGCATCTACAGCTAAAACAGGTACATGTTATTTTGGTACTGCACCTCATGGAAATTTTATGCCAATTTTCTTAGGTTAAACTCAATGAACTCATTAGCTAATTTATGGCAAATCTATCAACTTTTCTTTGCTGCCCCGTGTGTTAAATTCAAAGCCAACTTCTTTGAACTCTTTTTAAAGTGAGTTTTTAAAAAGACATAGAAAGAGAGAGAATCTTTAAAGTGCTAAACAAACATTTTGTCACATAACACACTTAGCATTTGATGAGGAGGAAGAATGGTCCCTGGAAGCATTTGGAAAGGAGCAAAGAGAAATACAGTTCTATTCCCACGGGATATATATTATACTCTGTAATGGCAAGCACCGTGGAGGACTTACAAAAAAAAAAAGATGTAAAGAATGGCATTTTTTGCAGGTGGGGGGGTAGGGGGAGTAGTCATAGCAGGTACACCTAAGTCATTTGCTGTGGTTTTGCAGCCTCATTTTTCCGGTCCTGGCTAGAATCCCCAGCCCAGGAAACAGACACGACTGCTTTATCCATTTGCTGAATATTGATATACAGGTAGTCCTCACTTACCAACCATTCACTCAGCAACCATTCAAAGTTACGATGGTTTGGGTGCTTGGCAACCAGTGCGTGTTTATGACTGTCGCAGCATCTCACTGTTACTTGATCACTCTTTGTGACCTTCCCAGCCAGCTTCCAACAAGCAAAGTCAATGGGGAAGCTGGCAGGAGGTCACAAGTTGTAGTCACGTGACATCACGCTTAATGACCTATAGTGATTCGCTTAATGACCACAACCAGACTGATGTTATAAGTTGGCATGGTCACGTGGCATTTCACTTAACCGCTGCACCTCTTAGCAATGGAGTTGCCAGTCTCAATTGCAGTTGGTAAGTGAGGACTACCTGTACCCAACAGCTTACACCTAAACATAGATTAAAAAAAAATACAGATCACTTTTTTTTTAAGTATACTATTTAACAATAAAGCTTATGCCCAGATGTGGAAGGATGGACAAGCAGCAAGGAAAGGCCCTGCATGTTTTCTCCCATTTGTACCTCCCCCCCGCCACTTCTCTTGGTTAGCCTTGGCTGCAGTTTCCTGCATATTTTGGCCCAGAACTGCTTGGGGTGGTCAGGGTAGGGTATAAGTAGTGTCAGTGCAAGAAATAGTAGAGCAAAGATACAGCTAAGACAAAATGCAGGTAGTCCCCGGGTTAAAAACGAGTTCCATTCCTAAGTCTGTCTTTAACTTGAATTTGTATGTAAGTTGAAACTTGTACTTATGAACGGGCTGCCTATTACTAAAAATGGCAGACAGCATTCTCCTTCCTCAAGCCGACAAACTGTTGAAGCCACACAATGTTTTCATGAACCACTGAAAACAGGCTGTATATTAAAAATGCGTGGCTTCAACAGTTCATGAAAACATTGCGTGGTTTCAGCGATTCATTGGCTCAAGGAAGAACGCCATCTGCCATTTTTAGTAATAGGCAGCCCGTTCGTAATTCATAAAGTAAAGTTATTACTGTCTTAATAGATCATGAATTATGGCTTTTTCTCTGATGACTTTTACAAGGTTCATAACAGATCTTTGAGCAGTTCCTTATATTTCCCCAGCAACGAGGAATGCAGTCACTCCCCAGATGCCCCATGAAATTATAATCCCTCAGTGGAAAGCAAGATCGGGCAATGACAAGGTAGGTTGCTAAATTACAATGACTAGTGAAGGCTCTGCTTTCTGATGACCCTTTCAGATACTCATTCTCCTCTTGATCTGATCAGTGCCAGGAATGGTTTACCTGTGACTGGTTGCTCAGTACTTGCAGTGAAGAACCCAAAACAATGTAGTGTGTGTGTGAGAGAGAGAGAGAAGGAGAAGATGCTCTGTAGCTTTTTGAATCAGTATATGGGAAGAAAATTAGAATTAAAGTTAAAATGAGTATTCTAGCTTGAGATTTGGATGCTCTGATACTAATAATTTCCTCTTCTACAGAAGGAACCAATCTTTGCTAAAACTTGCCTAAATCTTAAACATTTGTTCTCCTTCTTATGAGTTTCTACAGGGAGAGAGGGGTTAAAAAAATCAAGATGACACCTGCAGCTTTGCGTTTGAAGCCCCTCCTTTTTACGTTGTTGTGTATGTGACACATATAAAGAAAAAAAGCAGAGGTTGATCGTGCAGGTGCTTCCCCCATCTTGACTTTTTCAACCCTCCCTATGGATGTCCCTGTTCCTTCTGCTAGTAGCATGTATCAGATTCAGCTGAATCCAAAGTGAGTTGAATTGGAAGAGTTCAGAAGATGTCTGGATCAAAGCAGGGCTTCTGTAGATCAGACTGAATCTAAATCCTTTGTTAATGATGTAGAGGAACAGAAAGTATATTTCAAAATACTGGTCCATTTTTCTTCCAGTTCTTAAGCTAAGAAAAGCACCAAGATGAAGACCCAAACTAGCTAAATAACTTTAAACAGTTATTCATTCGTTGTCATTCTCCAGTTGCTGCACTTATGTTTCTGACATTTGGCAGATTATTGCCCGGATTATCAATGGAAAGAGAGCCTATTTAGTCTAGTTATTAAAGTGTTGGAGTAAGATTGAAAAACCTAAGTTCTAGTCCTGCCTTAGGCACAAAGCCAGCCGGGTGTCCTCGGGCCAGTTCCTCCCTCTCAGCCCTAGGGAGAAGGCAACGGCAAGCCACTTCTGAAAACACTACCAAGAAAACTCCGTGGACTTGTCCATGTAGTCGTTAGGTGTCTGAATGACCAAAAGCCCAAAAAGAAAAAGCAAGCAAACGAAACAGTGAAAACAACACAAAGGGAAGATAAAGCAAATAAATTCTTTACAGCTATAAAAGTACTCTTGCACAATGTCTTCTAAATCTAATGAAGCAGGCTTGATCCTGTCACAAGTAATAAATATGCTGAAAAATCTAACTCAAACCCACTGAGAAATCATTAAAAAAAAGAATGACAGTTCTGTTTAAAAACAAAAACACAAAGTGTAAATGTGCCTGGCGCGCGCGCACACACACACAAATACACATGCATACATACATACATACACTCTGTTTTTCACATTCAGGTAGTCCTTGCTTAACAACTGCCCTGTTTAGCAACCATTTGAAGTTATGATGGCACTGAAAAAGTAACTTTAGGACTGATCCTTGCACTTATGACCATTGCAGTGTCTCCATGGTCACATTATCAAGATTTGGGCACTTTGCAACCAGTGGGCATTTATGACTGTCGCAGTGTCCAGTGGTCACATGATCACCATTTGTGTGCTTCACAGCCGGCTTCTGACAAGCAGAGTTAATGGAGAAGCCAGCAGTAAAATCGCTAGTTGTGATCATGGGATGTCTCGCTTAATGACCACGGTGGAAATGGGGTTGTAAGTTCATTGCAGTCACGTGATATCTTACTTAATGACTGCATTGCTTAGCAACAGAGTTGCGTGTCCCAATTATGGTCATTCAGTGAGGACTACCTGTATATATATGAAATTTGACAGGCATTCCTCTCATAATGGGCAAATTTAATCAGATTGTGTATGAGGGGGAAAAAGGTATTAATCATTCTTTCAATTTATATCCAACAGGCATTAGGAAGCTTCAGATTTCCAAATTGAAGATTTGGATTTGGCCTCCAGGGCAAGTCAGGTGACCTCTAAATAGGTCCAAATTTTATTTTCCCAAGTGGATTCTGGACCAAAATTGATAGTTGATGCATAGTCTTGGATTCAGCAAGTAACATCCCCAAGTTGAGATATTTTATAATGTACAATCCATCACTGGTAATGCCTTTATTGGAACCAACTGGTTATACTTGTTTTTAATATTTATGAGATAGTTTAGCAAATATACATAACTGCTATTGTGCAAATGAAGATGTTTTTAAAAACTGGGAAGTCTTTTGTTTATTAATAAATGTCTTGTGTGAGTTCCTTCTTGGTTCCTCTTGTTGCTTCCTCTTGCTTTACCTGGGATAATTTGTGAAAACATTTAGCCCAGAGTAATGTATTAGTTCTTTCAGTACTGGAGCCTTCAATGAAGAAGTCATTTCACAGCATGCTATGGGTTCTGAGAAGAAAAATGAAATTCCTTTATCAGTCTTTAGCACTTAAAAGACCATAATTCATATACATGCTTCACTTTGTGAAGTCATCCATTTTCATTGTGGATCAGAGAGGAACTATGCAATATGTTATGACCGTGTTAGATGGAACAATCACCTCTAAATTGCCCAAACTGCTACCAAAAGATAAAATTGTCTTTAAATTGCCAAAATCTCACGCAAGAGCATTAAAAATGTGTGAGGTTTTATATATATGGGAAGGATCACTGACATCTTGAAGGGTATTATTATGGTTGGTTGCACAGTCAGCCAGATGTTTAGACTGGATTTGGCATTTTTATCCACCTATCGAGTCCTTTCCAAGGACCTGGGATAGGCAGATGTTGTTTGATGGTGTTAAAGGTATGGTCGCATGATATAAGCTGTTCAAGTAAAGCTGCCTTTTGCAATTGACTGAGGGTGATTTTGTCAGGGCTGATGGTCTTCAAGTGGTGCTTCAGATGTTTTGGGATTGCACCTAAGGTGCCTATAACTATTGGTCATATCTTTGCTTTCTTTTGCCATAGTCATTCTGCTTCTATTTGCAGGTCTTTATATTTTGTGATTTTTTTCCAGATCTTTCT